CCCCCCCCCCCGCCCCAAAAAAAAAAGGCATCCCTTTGAGGCTGCAAAAGATTGTTTACGTTTCTTTTTACTGCAAAAGATTTGAAAAGAATTTACACAAAACCAACCGAGCAAACTTTTTTTTTAAATGTGCGGAATTTTTCATCTGCTAACTACAAAATCTAGACATTTATCTCTCTCTGAGATGTACGTCGAGCAAACATTATGATAGTCACTGTGTTGCATTTCTCGAGAGAGCAGGGGGGGTCCTGTAGGGACAAGAGCACTGAGCAGAGACGGTTGCAAATACAGAAAGCTGGTCATCGAGTTGGGTACTACCACTCCGAACTCTTCCCCTATGGAGCCATCATCCATGGCCCAGGAGGAAAATCTTATGAGCCGGTAGTACCCAACCCGAAGGCCTTGGGCGGCAATGGGCGCGAACAACCCAATACTTCTTCACTTAGCATGTTCTACCAAAATATGGGTGGAGAATGCGGGGTAGGTTTACACACTGTCAGAGAGAGTAGTCCATCGCATCGTCCAAGCCGGACCTGGGATCACAGGGAGAAATGACACAAGAGAAAGTGTGACGCAAAGGACCACAACCTCAAGGTGTAATGAAGTACTCACAGACGAAAAGAGTTATCATAAACAAATGATTAATTCCATTATGCACATGTTATTGGCTATTATACACATCCAGCGCTGTCACGGACGGAATGCCCTGAACGGTTAATTTCAGCAGTGTCCTCGCTCCTATTGCAAGTAGGACCATTGCACCCGACTATGAACTACAGGGCACTACCGTCCAGTGATACAGCCAGTCTCGGTCAGGATCTAAAGCACCCGAGATACAAACAGCTATTCCCCCCCCCGTCCTGCCAAAGGTTCTCAAGGAAAAGCAAGAAGCAATCTCTAAGGAACGGCTATGTGCTAAGTACTAGTGTCTCGGACTGTATACATCTAAGATCCAGGGACGAAGTTCTGGGCGTAGGCCCAGGCGTTGTTGGCGACCGGGTCGGCCAGATGGTCGTTCAGGTTCTCCAACGGTCCCTTGCCAGTGACGATGGCCTGGACGAAGAAGCCAAACATGGAGAACATGGCCAAGCGGCCATTCTTGAGCTCCTTAACCTTCAGCTCAGCGAAGGCCTCGGGGTCGTCGGCCAAGCCCAAGGGGTCGAAGCTGCCGCCCGGGTAGAGGGGGTCCACCACCTCTCCCAGAGGCCCGCCGTTCACTCTGTAGCCCTCCACGGCGCCCATGAGCACCACCTGGCAGGCCCAGATGGCCAAGATGCTCTGAGCGTGGACGAGGTTGGGGTTGCCCAAGTAGTCCAGCCCACCCTCGGAGAAGATCTGAGCGCCGGCCTTGAACCACACAGCCTCGCCGAACTTGACGCCGCTGTTGGCCAACAGCTCGGGAGTGAGGCAGCCGAGAGCGCCGAGCATGGCCCAGCGGGCGTGGATCACCTCCAACTCCCTGTTGCGAGCGAACGTCTCGGGGTCCGCGGACAGTCCAGCAGTGTCCCAGCCGTAGTCGCCGGCGAACTCGCCCGTCAAGTACGACGGAGTCTCACCGGACAACGGGCCAAGGTACTTGGGGCGGTCGGGACCATACCTGCAAATTGCATGCAATGGACACACAAACGCGCACATAAACAAATTACGTTAGATTATATTAGATCACGACAAACGACCGCCACAACCCGTGATATGAAATGAATGACCCCTCAGCATGCAGGGGAAAGCACACCCCTTTAGGGCATGGCCACACCACTCTCGAAATGTGCAAAATGAGAATGACCTTCGGCGTAAAAGATGACCAGATGCATCGGCCACATTTTTGCCTTTTTCACATTTCCAGAGTCGTGTGGTGGCGACGCCCTTAATGAAAAGCAAAAGCGGAACAAACATAAGGAGGGAAGGCGAAGCAACACCTGCACAGCAGAGCGTCAAGACGGAGCAAGGAAGCTGCACCACGTCTATATTATCACTTGAAAATAGGAGGCCGGGAATCCTCACAAACAAGCCCACCGGCCCCAGGTATTTCCAGAATTCCAAGAAGAGAACACCATTCATCTAGTTTCGTTTAGATTCGAACTCAGCTGAAGCTCTGTCGTTCCGCTGAAAGACAGAGCTGAGCTCGTTCGAGTACCCACTGACTCACTGAGCTGCACGTAGGCCAGTCTGCATGCACGTAGGCCAGTCTGCATGCATCTTGTTCTCGCTTCAAGTTGATAGAAGGTGCTCCTACGTGTAGTGTGTGCCGGCAAGACTTAGTACCTTTTGCTTACCAAGGCCCATGCAAACACGTAGTACCGGGTCACAATGTTAGGCAAGGTGAGAGTAGCAGCAGAAAAGACGCAAATGTGAGATGCAGAGGGTTGTTGTTCAATTAATACGTAGGTGCGGCTGCAGGGACAGGACCAGATACAGCTCTAGGTTGTCGAGATCCCGCTGTACTACCCTCTTCACCCGAATAGAACGCCCCCTGGTCGGTATGGCTGCATCTGGACTAAAAGCTGCCCCAAATACGGCTATAATAATGACCGGGCGTTGTATGCGGGTGAGGACGTGGAGCAGCCGAAGGAGATGATGCACTCCGACCGTGTGTCTCTTCAAACAAAAAAAAAAGAAAAAAAAAGAAGGATGCGCGATAGCGATCAGCATAAGGAAAGTCCTGCGGCCCATCAAGTGAGCTGCTTAAATATCTTTTTTTTTTTTTTTTTTTCTCCCTTAAAGGTATTGCAAAATGGATCTCTAAAAGAGTCCCACATTTCAAGGGAAAAAAAAGAAAGAGAGAGAGAGAGAGACCGCTCGAGAGGGAAAAAAAAAAAACTCCCGAGTATTCGTCTGACAGTGGCACTATTTGTGGTTGCTTACGTCTGGTGAACCAATTTTTGAAATCTTTCCCCCTAAACCCTCCAGAGCCTCCACAAATATTTCGACGGGGGTTGACAAGTGTCGCTGAGTCCTTCGGGACATCCCTTAAAATTGGAGCGATACAGAGAAGGGTGAATAAGCAAATGGCCCCTGCGCAAGGATGACACGCATCAATCGAGAATTGGTTCACTTTTTATTATTATTATTTTTTTTTCTCCCGAAATCCGAGGGGTGTGAACAGGACGACGGTCTGTGTCAGCTTTTTGGGTAAAAAAAAAAAAAAAAAAAAAAAAAAAAAAAGCGTCACTGACAGTTGGTGAACGTTCCAAAAAGGGTGCCTGCCAGTTCTGTATTGGAGTAATCTGCTGAAGAGGGGGTTGTGAGTGAGGAAAAGAGGGAGGGAGGGAGAGTGGGGAAGTTGAGGGAGGGAGTCATTCTTCTTCTGGCAGACACAGAGTGTCAATGTCCTTCGAATAGAATACAGACGACTGCCTGGCGGGGCAATCAAGCAAGAACGCACGGAGGTTATAAAGTTTAGGTAGCTGGAAACTAACAAAGCACACAGAGAGAGAGAGAGAGAGAGAGAGAGAGAGAGAGAGAGAGAGAGAGAGAGAGAGGAGAGAGAGAGAGAAAGAGAGAGAGAGAGAAAGAGAGAGAGAGAGAGGGAGGGAGATGCACCTGTGTGCTCGGAAAGCGTTTCAATGTCGATACCCTACGCGCATGCAGGTTCTGAGGTTCAGCAGCGGCCGTCTTCAACCCGAATAGAACGCACGGACTTTGTCGCTGCATGTGGACTGGAAGTTGCCCCAAAGGCAGCTACATTGACCGGGCGTTCTATTCGGATAAGAACAGTCGGTGCTCGCGCATCCCCGAACTACGCAATGTTAGTATTTTTCTCGTCCGAGGTTTGAAAACGACACTGTTACAACACTGTTACAACAGAGCCTGTGAAAGAGAGAACGTGAGAGAGAGAGAGAGAGAGAGAGAGAGAGAGAGAGAGAGAGAGAGAGAGAGAGAGCAAACGACACTGTTACAACAGAGCCTGTGAAAGAGAGAAGAGGTTTGAAAACGTCCGTCGAAGAGACATTTAGACGGCGAGCTGTGGTTGCCGGCCCGTTCTCGTCCATGGCCGCTGCGGTCGTTTTCCTGTCTAGCACGCTCCCGCCTCTCTCTCTCTCTCTCTCTCTCTCTCTCTCTCTCTCTCTCTCTCTCTCGGAAGACCTACTATACATAACAGCGAAACAACAAGTTGTCGAGGTGCTGGGCAAACAGTGAGCGAGAGGAAGGAAATACAACTGACGAAAAAGGACAATTAAAAAAAAAAAATGAAAAAAAATGAAAAGTGAATAGTACTGAATACATTAATTCAAATACATAGTGAAAAGGAAATACACCTGACGGAGGTATAGCAAGAATCTTGGACAGCTGAGTACAGAACGAGAAGTGTACCGGACATAGTACCAGACATAGAGCCGAGTGACTTCCAGAGGAGGAACGGAGGTCCAGGAGCCAAACGGTAATATTGACGTACCTGCATGCATGCAACTACGTCACGAGACATTATAAGGAATGCATTAACAAAAAAAAAAAAACAAAAAAAAAAAAAGAAGGAATTCATTGATGGAGTGCACTGTGCACCAGCTATGGCAAGCGTTCGAGCCACGGCCAAGGTTACCGTAGCCAAAATCGGCGCATGACGAACATGCACGCTTGTTTGCATGAGATATGAAGGAGAGCGGTCGATCAAGGCTGACCACGTACGACAGCCTGTGCATGGACTACGTTGGGAGTGGCCGCTGTGCATGGACTACGTAGTACGTACCACGTACAGCAGCCAGTGCATGGAGTCATGCAGTGCATGCAGTGCATGCACTACGTTGGGAGTGGTCGTTGACAGAGGGGGAGCAACTGAGGAAAACCAAAGAACGAGAAAACCCCAAAAAAAGGACCGAAAACACACACATACCAGAGGCTGTCGCTGGTCTTCTTGACTGTCCTCCTCATGACGACGCGAGACTCCGACTGGCCGACATGGCGGCTGAGATCGCTCTGCTCCTTGAGAGCGGTCTGGCCGGCGAATGTGCTCGGCGCAACGGCAGCAACGGCGGCGATGGCGGCCATGGTGATCGACGGCTGGTGGACTCGACGAGCGTACTACGTTCTCTCTAGAGAGAGAGGGGGAGAGAGAGGCTCAGTCGATCGCCGGTACCGCGTGCTAGGCAAACAACCACCTTGATGCTCCGCTGGTTAATCAACCCTATGTCGTCTCTACATATAGCCCTTCACGTATGATGGCGATCATCACTGTCGTGACTCTCTAACTGTCCCGCTTCTGTCCCACGACTCGAGTGGGGTACCGAAACACACTGGTATCTGGAAGGCTGGAACAATGTGGGCCCAACGTTTGGTGGTCCACGATCACCCCACGATTACGCCACGTCGACGGGCCTCGCCGCACCACTCACCAAATCCACAAAAGAAAAAAAACAAAAAAATTATTGGGTCCGTGTAACTTTCCATGTTTTAGCAGAGCGTTTCTTCTTTCCCAAAAAAAAAAAAAAAAAAAAAAAAAAAACGTTCGTTCTCGTGTTGCGCGTTTGGTGAGTGGTGCGGCGGCAAGGCTATACGCCACGTGTGGTCCAGGATTACCACGGAAGATGGGTACCCCCGGTGGGGGGGTACGAACCACAGACCCTAACCCTGCACGAGGGCTAGGTCCCACTTGCACGAATTAAGAGATACTGACGGTAGATAGCGAAGATCAACGGCCGAAATCTCCTAATTTGCGCAAGTGGGACCTTGCCCGGGGTTGTAGTCGGGCTCAAGACTCGAGGCTGTCGAGATTCGAGAGCCGAGAGCCTCTACAGGGCTCGACATTCTTGCCCCTGCTTCCCTGCTCTCTCGTTGGAGGAAAGGATTCGAGAAGATCATGCAGGAAAGCGTAGGCCAATGAGGTTGCGCCGCGAAGATGCACGATATGCCGTGCTTCTGATGCATGCAAAAGTCGGGATCCGATAGCGGATGAGCTCTGGGTGGGCGCCATTGGCCCAATATAATAGAAATTAATTATTATAAATGTACTTTGTGGGTGAAATACGTCGCACGCAGAACAACAACGGGCCTAGCTTCTTCCCCCGAAAACAACGAACGGTCATTATAGCTGTAGTTGGGAGATCTTTCCGTCTAAATACAGCTGTAATTACTGTAGGTTGTGTTCGGGGGAAGAAGGTAGCTCAGTTGGCCTACCGGGCCTACCGTCTTCCCCCGAAAACAACGCACGCTTATTTTGGCCGTATCTGGCCGGAAATATAGCTTGTATACATTCATTTTTAGGGTGCGTTATGTTCGGGGGAAGTTGGTAGGTCCCACTTGCACGAAATAAGAGAGAGAGAGAGAGACCGTAGATACCCGAGATCAACGGCCGAAATCTCCAATCCGTGCAAATGGGACCTTGCCCCCGATGGACTGTTGAAATAAGGACGTGTGCTCTAACCCCGACGAACTAGTGAAATGATTAATTTTCTGAATTGGCCACGGCTGGTCAGTTCCACGAGGACATCTCAACGACGTCACCATTTGTTTTTGATTTGTGAGAATAAGAAAAAGAGGGAGAGGGGGAGGGAAAAAAAAAAAAAAGAAAAAAAAAAAGGAGAGGGAGG